AGTTAAGTAATACTGCAGAAAATCTATTTCGAGTTACACGTTTTGAGGTCCCCTGAAATGGAGAAAGTGTTGTTTTTTTCTTTCTGGCCCTTAAGAAGGTATTTTGTAACAAGAGAACGTTATGTAGTGGTGCAACGGAAAACGGCGAATTTTCGCCAGAAAATCTTAGTGCCGGACTCTGGTATTGAAAAAGTGGATAAATCCTGTTGCTATCTATAGTAAATTGCATCCACTATACGCCCATTCACAATGCATACGTAAACATAAGCATTGCACATAGATCTAAACATAACTGATAGACTGAAGTATTGACAATGTCTACCATTAACGTTAGCAAAATAAGAGTTTCTATATGCTGTGAGACATCTGGTTTACTATTATTTGGATGTGCGCATCGATTTCAAGGTATCGACTATGTCCATGGACCATATGGAGTTAGTTCTTCTATCGATTTCGCTCCAATTTCGATTCTCGATTTTAAGTTAACAGTTCTGTGCTTGGTTCATTTCATATGTCTTACTTAAGCATAAGCACAGAAGCTTGAAGCTTGCAAGCTTTTAAGTTCACGTCTTACGTGTTATGCTTATGCGAACGCATTATGATGCCGCGTATTCCCTCTAGTTAAGTGTGCCGTCTTCCGAGTGACTTTGCGGTTCGGCTCACACTCGTTTAGAGTTAGTTGTTCATTTATTGAGCCCTCCTTCCCCGGTAGACCTATGACTCATATACTATCGAATCTGCGGCGCGCGCACCACAGACAATGCGCGCTCTGTGAACCGCAAGTAGTAGCGGTGGCACGGCCGAGATACGCGCCATCGGGCTCCTGTCGAGGAGCGAGTCTATGCCAGCGCTGCACCCGCTAGCGGGCCAGCCAGCGCCGGGAACGCAGTTCCGGCAGTTCAATTGAGTCTCGCCGAACGAGAGAGGAGAGACGGAGACCAGCCCGTAGGAGAGAGCCATCGCGAGGAGGGCTACAGTGCTGCGAGATCGCACGAGGAGAGAAGGCGACTTCGTGGGAGTGGAAGAGTCACCCTCGCACGCCGGTGACGGCCCAACTGGGGCGACGTTTGCAACGACACCCAGAGGCGACGGTCGAGCTAGGGATTACTGCAACGTGGAGATTCCACTCTACACTGCCCGACGGAACGGCCTGGCCTGACAAGGGACGCGTCACGCCGCTTAGAAGTTGAAGACCGTTTTCAGAATGTCATTAGGTTGTGTACAGAATTTTAAACAAATGAATGAATTTTTATTATACGAGTATTTAACAAAGTAACATTAAATCTTTTTTCAACTGAACATAACACTCGCTTTTATCTACACTGCTGTCTTTGTTAGTGCGTCGGTCTTTTCGTCGTCGGGCGTCGGCGCCAGCAAATAATATAGAGACAATACAGGACTCTTCGCGATATATCGAGAAACACTGATAGCTCCATCTAGTGGCAGAACCTGGTGAAAACTCTTACAGCCTAAGCTCAGTGCTCTGTTGCTGTTTGTTTTGTGCTCGATTTTTAAAAATTTGATTGTCTTTCTGGCCAATTTCTGGTATTTTACAATACTGTTCTTGGCATTCTTCCTTATGGCAGGAAACATTTGTGCAGTTTTTCGCTGTTTTAATTATGAAATTCAAAAGAACTCGCGTTCGTTCTCCACGTAAAAATAGTTTATTAAATGTAGGTGAAAAGCATAAATTAAGAAACTCTCGCGTATTCTGACTAAACAGTATGTGAATGCCACTCTTTTCTACCCAAATGAATTAGCTATTAGTTTGTTTTCTAAGATTAAGTATGTTTTCGATAGAGACTTTTTAAATTGTTTACGTCACAGTAAACTTGAAGTCAAAAACAATTAATGCAAATCATTAATATTCAATTGGAAAATATTCTATGTGAGGAGTGTACTAATTTATATGTAAACGGAGGTATCAATGTATTGATAAAGTTGTTTTTAAAGAAAGCAAATGAAAAAAATACCAAATGTATCACTGGAAGTGTTAAGGCAAGAAAAAATCTTGCCTTTTGTAACCATTGTATTCTTGAAATATATAAAACATCTCTTTTGTACATTATTATTTTTCGTAATTTAAGTCATTCAATATGATTAAGTCACAAAAAAGTAGGTAAAAATGAGTCTTATTTCGTGAGGTCAATAAAAAAAAGTATTTCTTCCGTAAGAATCATATTGATGTCTTTATTTGGCTATAAGTTAAAAGTAAAATATTTTCTGCTGCATATCTGTTTCTACATAATTAGAGACTATACTGATTATCAAAAAGTAAAATAATGTTTATTTTAACAAAACAGTGATATTTGTATGATGAATTAGTTTACATTTTTATTGTATAATTTTTAAAGACTTAATATGTTTGTAACAAATAATGTACCTCAGCTTCCGAGTCAATGACCCCCATTTCGATCCGGTTTTTGTCCAGTTTTCCTGATCCATTGAGCAAATGTTGAGATGGCCCCTTGTTTTACTTCTGGGCGTAAATGCAGCTTCACTATGCGCACGTTTTGTTGAACTCACCTTTTGTTTGTAATGGTAAGAGTTAGAGGAAAGGGTGAGTTGCTATTTTGTTAATAGTGCAGAAAAATCATACTTGCAATTCGTGTACCGATGAAAATAAGTTTTCTATAACTCAAAAACAAAAATTACTATTTTTCAAATATTGCTAATCTTGTAATTTTTAAAATTTATTGTTATTTATTTATTTATGTTAAACTTTTACTCATCTTTCAACTATTTATAGTTAAAATGACGGGAAGGGATTCAAGAAAACGTGCGGAGATAATATTTTCCCACCATTTTCACATACAGTTTTTACTTTTTTTGACTGAATAAATCTAAGTCTAAAAGGCGGTGGCGGTGGCGGCGGAGGCGAGGTCGCGACCTCGCGCGCCGCTCCTCAGAAATGTGAAGCCTTTTGGGGCGGGGCAGGCCCGCCACGAAGCAGGCGCAACTGCCCGCGCTGCTCGTCAGAATTCTAGTGGAAGAACGTTTGCCCGCAACCACCTCGGAGGTTCCTAGGTTACGTGATCAGGGTCTTTGCTTATATATCGGGGGTCGCGTGGGGTTTTTGAAGTGACGAACAAAGTCTGTTAGTATTTTCGAATCAGGTCCCCGTATTAAGTTTTTCTGTGGAAAATTTCCGCACATTATACTCTATATTTCGTGTATGAGAAAGTAATAAAGATACAATCATCAGTGGGGCTGTTCTTACTAGCGCTACTTTTCTTGAACGAAGGATTGAAGAAATGTGGGTAGAGTGGGGGTATTAGTTACCTTATCAGCCACTACCTTTTATGAAGGAATGGCAACCTCTGGAGAATCAGTCATTCATTCCCAACTTTCTCAATAATTTACGTTCTAACTTTCTCAGGAGTCTGAGGTATTGCCTGTGATAGAGCTTCACCTGCTTCTGGCATTTCTTTAGACGTTTTTAAGAAAATCAAGGACAGAAGTTCTCGTCTCCAACAGAAAATAGTTTCCATTTTGCGCCAGCGAATATGTGTTTGGAATGTTGTTATCATTGCTCGCTGCGAGCTTTTGTCTTCAACTCTTTATTGTGCCAGAGAGAGGGAAGCAAGGTCATCGTTCAAGAAAAGTGGCGCAAGGAATAGCGACGCTGGGTTTAATGCGCTGATTTGTCTGTGCAGCCGCTGTGGGCTCTGGGCGGCCGCGCGCATGCGCTCCGCCTGCCGAGCGCGCCGCCGCCCCCGCTGCCCACGCCGCCCCCGCTGCCCCCGCCGCCCGCTGCCTGCGAAGAAGGTGCGTAGGTGATAGAACAGAAACACATATGGAAGTGATGCAAGTCCGATTTCAGAATTTTCAAAATTTGGAAAAGTTAAAAAAACTTCGTCTTCGTAGAACTACAACATTCAAAATAGATATTTTTCTCAATGAAATATGTTCCTCAAAATTAAATCTTTAAATTTGATCATGTGATTTTTTTCGAAAATTTCGTAGCTTTTGCGTAATTTTGCGTGAAATAATGGCAATTTTAAAAACACGATTCTTTCAAAAGTAGCTACAATTTCTTTCTTTAACCTTTTTGTAATGATAGTATTAAAAGCACTGGATAATATATATATATATATATATATATATATATATATATATATATATATATATATATATAAGCTATATTGTGCACATTTTTTTTAATTACACAACTTGTTTTTGTGTTTTTCTCGTGTTGTTAATATTTACTTTACGTTATTGCATTTATAAGCACAAAGGCTTCAAATTCTTACTTATTAACTCTATCAAAAACTCAAATGTAACCTTTTTCACCTTTTTCAGGAAGGCTAAATCATTTTTTCAAAAATCGTTCAAATTTTTTTTGTTTCAATTTGTGGTTTTGATAGTGCAGTGAATAACGTGACAAAAACGCCATTTCGATGTATAATTTTGATTAAAAACTCGTGTATTTTTTAAAATCTCTTGTGTCGTTAGTATTCACATTGCCTGATTTTATTCTTCTATAAGATTAACGTCATATTTCAATTCTATTATTTGCAGGCAGAAAAAAAAATAGAAAATTTGAAAGCATTGTTTTAGGTTCCGATAGGTAGAGGTGGAAAGAGATGAGAATCTAAATTAGTGCGAGAAGCTCTGTGCAATACTGTAAAACCATGAATGTGATAGTTGTTTTTAAACAGTTCAACAAGTAAAGTATGTCGCGAGTTGTAGGGGGAGGGGGGGACCACACCAACTCGTGCAGGAAGAAAAGAGAGTATCTTTTAAATCAGTTTATTGCACTCACCCGCATAGTGGACCCTACGTCTTGGGAGCGGGTGGCGTGACGACGGCTGACTTCGGCAGGTTGACGCCTAATAAGAGGGGCGAGGTGCGAAGCCCTCGCCATTTTATAGCCTCGGAACGCTGGCGTCGGCAAATGACAACTGGTCACTTGCCGACGGCAGCGTGTCGCGAGGGCCGGAATGCCATATCGCGACAATATTTTGCAGCAAAGTTGATGCAAAGTGATATAGTTTGAGAAAGCGCCGCGTGCACTGTGCAGAGGGGCCGCTGGACCTGTCGATGGGCGGCGCAGCGCGAGGCAGCCGCCCCCACAAGCGCCCCTCGCGGCCGCTTCTGCCCTGCGGCCTCTGCCCCAAGGCCTTCGACCGGCCCTCGCTGCTCAAGAGGCACATGCGCACGCACACAGGTGGGCGCTCTCTCTCTCTCTCTCTCGCACCCCTTCCCCCGCAGTGTTCGAAAGGCCCACAGTTGAGAGCGTTCTCTCGTACTGGCTTCTGTCTTTTGCCGGGCATCAAACGGACCTCTTTTACAAAGAAATGCATGCACCGGAACCTTGTTTATATCGTTCTTGATTAAACCAAAAGACGGCAGAGAAAGCACTCGAAGCAGTAAATTCGGAGAAAGTGATCATCCCTCCTGTGACTGCTGCCCCTCCCCTTTCCCCGCCGGCTCTCGTATTACACTTCCCGCACCTAACCAGGCGAGAACCATAGATCGCTCACCGCCAGGGCCCCTACCTGCGCCGAAGAAACAGTGCTGCGCAACAGCCGAAACGGGCCCAGAGGCAGAGACTTATCTCAAGGAAAAAGTGCATAAACGGCTGCGAGCCTACTCACATCTCTGCAATCGAGCACTTCGCTGTTGCTGGCCGTGGCCGTGTACGCTCCGCTGTCACTAACTGTAATTTCAATGTCACCAGAGCTATTCTATCATTATGACGAGGTCGCTGGACTCCTTGCTTCGGTGGGAGCGAATAAGTCCCCATACTGGAGGCCGTAGAAACGTCTCCTACAACCCAGCAGACGTTTTGAGACCCAACTTCCCGGTGCCAGGTCTGAGAGGGCTGGTACGCCTCGGCGCAGGCCTCAGAGGGTGCCAAATGCGCAGATACGCTTGGAAATATCGATTAATGGTTCGACTCCTGAAGCTGCAGAAGTATGCAACCCATCGCACGCTCCTGTATCGATGGGATGCTGACAGAAGCTACACCCAGGCGGCGATAGGTGCCCCAGCATTCAACACTGGCAGCAACTCGCAGAACGTCCCTGTCGGGTGGGTTGCTCGATGGGGATATTTCCGTACCCCGGTAGAAGCCAACCCCGCAGAGACAGGTCGAACCGGAAACTCAGAGTGGCGAAGCTATAGAGCCAGCACTCGCCGCCGGTGCGGAGGAGGGAGTACCGGAAACCGCGTTAGTGACCGCGGCCGGGAATGGGGCGCAGGGCGGTGAAAGAGTCAGTCAAATTCCGGGCGAACACCCTAGAGGCCGGCAGGCAATTTCGGCGTGTCGCCGATCGGAGTCTCGATCCAAAGTGTAACCCTGTTCCCGGTCTCCCCATAGGGGAGTCTCCCGCCCCTCCCACCGCGGAAAACGATGGCAGGGGGTACGAACGCAGGCAGCGGGTATCATCTGGTCAGAGCAGCATCCCCGGCGTACATCAGCAAATGCCCCGGAGGTGATACGCGAGGAGCTCTTCCTCCGCCATGATTCCCGTCAGCATCGCCGACTCTGCGCCGGCGGAGGTAGTGAACAGATGAGTAGACGCAGCAAAACTGCACCGGGGGCGGATCGCGACATTTATAGTATCCACCTTATCACGATGGTCCCGGAGAGGCGAATTCTTTCTTTGATATTGAATGGCGCGCTCCAGACCCGCTGTGTTCCAAGGGCACCGTCAGTCCTCATCCACCAGGGCGATAAAGGCGGGGGCCTGAGCAACTCCTATAACACCCCTCCATATAAGCGGTTGGCGGCTTTTTGGCTGATTGTCTAAGTGGATGGACAGAGAGATATGTCCGGCTCAGAAGAACTTCCAACTGTCTGATGGAGTATTGGAGCAGAACCACCTTCTATAGTACAATTTTTTTTAAATCGTGCGTCTGCCAGATATCAGCTATTGACGTTTTCATCCAATCGGGAGCTTAAACGTCCCTACAGTGACGTCACTATGGTATCATTCATGCTCCCGATTGGATGAAACCGTCAACAGCTGATTTACTTCAAACTCACGGGTAAATAAATCCAAGTATAGGTAGAGAGCTCCAGCTCGGTCGAAGCAGAACCTGAGCCTATCCTCATATGAACTGGGCGAAAGCGTTTGAGTGTGTCTCACGTTGTCGTAGATGTGGCACTGGACGCGGCCGCAGTCGGGGCCCCGTTCTGTGCGCTCGGGGGGGATATTTACCGCCATTCGAGCACTCAGATATTCACCGAGGAGAGCCCGACAGGACCCATAGCTGTTGTCTGCGGAATGCGCCACGGCTGTCCTCTGTCGGGGTTGTTGTTGTTGTTGATGCTATTATTATTATTATTATTATTATTATTATTATTATTATTATTATTATGATAATTCGTCGTAGGCATCCCTCTGTGCCTTAGATGTTAATGTGCCAGTGGGACCGACTGGGTGCTCGCCAACGCGGGGAATATGGTGCTGCTCGCCACGACGCAGGACGAGTTACAGGCCCGCCTGAAGACGGCGGGAGAAGACGGGCAGCGGCTAAACATCAGGGCTAAGTCAGGAAAATGCCATTCCCTGATGATAGAGACATCAAAGCACATACCGGCGACGTTTGAAGCTGGAGAGGCTGGAATGCCGGAGCAGTACTCTACCAAACGGGCTACGGACCACGCGCGGTCTTTCCTTCCTCTGATTTATCCTATGCTCACCACTTACTTTCACTTACACTCACATGCACTACACTGCCACACTTGTCAGGGGACCAGTCGGGAGTTTGGGGTTGTACCAGTAGGGTGAAGTCCCGCTGGTGGAGATACCTGGTTGGGGAATAATCCACGCGAGAGACACTAGATTGGCACCGAATCTCACTCTCGAGTGGGGGAACATCTCCGGCAACTCCACCGATAAAAGCATGCACTACACCGACAGGCCTAATGACCTTAACACGTCAAGCGCTCGGATTAAAGCACCAAAGTATGCTTAGAAGCTGTACAATTCATTTTACCCGGCCGTTGCGGATAACTTGGCCGCGCGCAAGCGCGTGCGCAGGCGAGAAGCCGCACGCGTGCGGCGTGTGCGGCAAGGGCTTCTCCACGTCTTCCTCGCTCAACACGCACCGCCGCATCCACAGCGGCGAGAAACCTCACGAGTGCGCCACCTGCGGCAAGCGCTTCACGGCCTCCTCCAACCTCTACTACCACCGCATGACGCACTCCAAGGTGAGCGCGCGCTTTTTGCCCTGTCTTTGTTTGTTTATTTGTTTATTTATTTGTTTATTTATTTATTTATTTATTTATTTATTTATTTATTTATTTATTTATTTATTTATTTAATTAATTTTATTATTAGTCGTCAAAAACAGTTAAAACTGGGTGTGACGTACTATAGGGAGAAGTGTATTCTGTGCACGGTTTCTTAAATTCTGAGATCCCTACCGTAATCCATATTCAAGTTGAATTCTGAATAAAGTTAAAAATGGGCCTTTTGGCATTAATTGATAAGCAAATGTTTGTTACAGTGAAATAAAAACAATTTGCGAAGGCATATTAGCTACTTATTTGGGCTGTGATCGCTCACCGTGCCTTCCCTGTGTGTGTGTGCGTGCGCAGGAGAAGCCGCACAAGTGTGTGGCGTGTGCCAAGTCGTTCCCCACGCCCGGCGACCTCCGCGCTCACGCGTACACGCACAGCGGCGCGTGGCCCTTCCGCTGCAGCGCGTGCGGCCGCGGCTTCGGGAAGCCCACGGCGCTGCGCAACCACCAGCTGCTGCACTCGGGTAACTCGCCTTCCTCCTTCCAATTCATGCAATTGGCTTGGCTTCGGGAAGCCCACGGCGCTGCGCAACCACCAGCTGCTGCACTCGGGTACTCGCCTTCCTTCCAATTCATGCAATTGGCTTGGCTTCGGGAAGCCCACGGCGCTGCGCAACCACCAGCTGCTGCACTCGGGTAACTCGCCTTCCTTCCAATTCATGCAATTGGCTTGGCTTCGGGAAGCCCACGGCGCTGCGCAACCACCAGCTGCTGCACTCGGTAACTCGCCTTCCTTCCAATTCATGCAATTGGCTTGGCTTCGGGAAGCCCACGGCGCTGCGCAACCACCAGCTGCCTGCACTCGGTTAACTCGCCTTCCTTCCAATTCATGCAATGGCTTGGCTTCGGGAAGCCCACGGCGCTGCGCAAACCACCAGCTGCTGCACTCGGTAACTCGCCTTCCTTCCAATTCATGCAATTGCTTGGCTTCGGGAAGCCCACAGGCGCTGCGCAACCACCAGCTGTGGCACTCGGGTAACTCGCCTTCCCAATTGACTTGACTTGACTTGCCTTGAGCTCTCATTCTTGCTGTTGCACTCTGGATGGCTGTTGATGTTGCACTCTGGAAACACTTCTTCCCCTTCATATATTGGCAATTTTCTTGGCTTTTGGAGTTCCACATCCTTGCAAAACACAAGTGCTGCACTCGGGTAACTCGCGTTCCCTTCATTTTGTGTCACTTTCCTTAACTGCTCACGTCGCCGCACAACCACCAGTTGATGCACAAAATTTTCTTCCAATTCATTTTTACTTTCCCGTATACATACGTATGCGGAGTAATATACGTAGTATAGGGAAAGTTATGAAATGCTGCGCAAAAAACGGCGGATTTTCGGCGGAAAAAATTCATTTGCAGTTCCTGATAACGTAAAAGTAGATAAATCCTCCTAAAATATTACTATAGCCGAAAAAATTGAAGAGCGAAAATTTGTAGACATTCTTGTGAAATTGTTTAAATATCCTTTTATTACATGCAGTGTTACGCGAGATCTCATGTTTTTAAAAAATTGTTCATGACTTTATTTCAAGATGTTTTTGAACCAAAAATGTATTATCGAAAACGCCTCTGTCTTTGTAAAATGTAACCGCGCTTTTTTAAGCGCCCCCTCTGATACCGGTGGAGAACTCTAATCAATGAATTTTGAGCCATTTTTTAATGAAAATATCTAGGTTTGATAACATCCTTTTCAATCTCGCAGGGTTTTGAGTTATTTGACATCGATCCGAGAATATCCACTTTGGAGAAAATAATCTGAAGACATTAGCTTTGACCACAAACGGACGAACAGGCAAACTTTTGCCGCCTATAGATTTTTCGGTATCAAGGACCCACAAAACATGGATTCTGGCTACACCACGTGTTAGAGGAAGAAATTTACTACACATAGGAAATGATTTATCCACTTTTTTGCCACCAGGCCTTAGAATTCGAGTTTTTTTAATCAAAAATAGCCGATTTCCGCCGCAGCTGCATTACAGTACTTTACTTTTTCTACGTAAGTACGTAGTTCTGCGAAAGTAAAAATATGTTATGTTAACGTAGTTCTGCAGAAAAGCGCTTAGCTAACTGTGTCCCTGTGGAAAGAACTGCCAGTACAGAATGGGTTTTAAAAAATCCCTTGCCATTTCTCTAAAACCGAATAATTATTTATATGTAAGGGATTGAAGTGAAACTTTATTCAGGGGAAGAAATATATAAGCGTCAAGCAAACTCTTCTCCTGAAGCAATAAAGCTCATTGAAACCCTAAACAAATCTTATTCTTAAAGCACTTTCTTAACATTATTATACCCCATTGAATTGTGGCTATGACTGTAGTTGCACTGTCTCCTACGTGCAGTGTACTGCTCTGTTCATAAGTGTTGACATTACTTTAATTCCGTGGACAATACATACTGAAGGCGTCCACAACCACTGTAATGCAAATCTGTCTGCCGTCCCGGTGGCCCCGTGTCGAAGACCGTGTCCACAGAACATACACAAAATGGAACCCTCCCTGCATTCGGCACGCCAGACTCATGCTATGGCCGCCATATTAAAACAGAGAAAACTGCTGACCCAACGCCACCTGAGTGACCTGGACCCTGGCTCGCCGCCGCTATTGATTGTGTTCTGATTGCAAGGCGTGTGCCTTTTAGCAGTTTTTAGTACGCGAATTTCATGGTTTTGCTCAATGTCCAGTTCGTTTTCTTGTAGACATTACATTTGTAATTATTTATAATGTAGTTTATGATAGTTTATAATGACTTTATAAGGATAATTTGTATTGGATAAGAAGAAAGGTGGCTGATGATGTGTTTGTTTCCTATTCACTGGCGTATTTCCCTCATTAAAATACATTTTAGTGATTTTTTAACTTCAGGCATACGGTACAATGTACTATTTTCTTAAAACTTCAATAGTGAAACACATTTCATTGAGATAAAATATTCAGGATTTATTGCTATGTGCAAGTATCGTCATTACTCGATGTCAAAATGGTGGCCGACGCAACCTCGCCGCCTCCCGAAGGCTAAAGGAACGGTCTCAGAGAGTATAAATACCTTACTGGAATAATGAAACATTATGTACACACCTTTCAGAGTCTTTGCCAATTGCATGTGGAGTCCCGCAAGGATCGATTTTAGGCCCTATTCTCTTCCTACTATACGTAAACGATATGCCATCGACGATTAGAAAAGGAAGAACAGTTCTCTTTGCGAATGATACGAATATTCTTTGCGGTAAAGACAGGATATAGTACAATATTTCAAATTTGTTCCGTAATAACAAATTAATAGTAAATGAAAAGAAAACGGTTTCATTGCAGTTTTCCATTTCAAATAAACAGCTCTGTACCGCATTGAAAATGAACGGTGTGACATTGACTGATTAAGGTAACAAAATGTTTAGGTCTTTCAATTCAGTCAAACCGTAAATTGAACGTCCATTTAAATGAATTGAACATTCAATTAAGTTCTTTATGCTACGCTTTCAGAATTCTTTCAAATTCAGTCACCTTTCATACTGTTCGTTGAGTATATTTCCCACCTGAGATATGCCATAATATTCTGAGGAAATACGTCTTATAGCTCCCAGACTTTTAGATTACAAAAACAAAAATTACGAATAATAACGCCTCTTCAGTAATCTAGGTATTTTACCATTACCTTGTCTCTTGATATATGAATCAATGATTTTCGTCAAAAATGACTTGCTTAATGAAATATATTTTCAGCAAACGCCGATGTCTACAACTAAAACACTCGCGGTAGTATTCATATTCATCAAGTGACAGTATCAACCGCTGACTACAAACAATTCACATACAATATATGTACATTATTTTACACCGCATTGCCAGATGACGTTAAACAATTAAATTTGATACAAAAGTTTAAGTCCCAATAAAATCCCGTAAAAATTCGTCTGCTTCACAACTGTTTCTATATTGTATAGAGACTATACCGAGCATCCAAAAGGAAAGTTATATTAATTTTAACAATGACATTTAGTGCATTATTTATCATTTGTATTGTATAGTTCTAAAAAACCTGTAACAAGTATTGTTCTTCAGTTTCTGCCCCATCTCAATCAGGTTTGCTTGATTCTTGAGCAATTGCTGAGAAAGACCCTTGTTTTGCCTTTTGTACATAAACATAACTTCAAATTAACTTCTCCCCATATCACGTCAAACAGAGCTTTTAAGTGTTTTGACGTAAATAAATAAAACGGCCATCAAGTTTCCTTTCTGTATTCTTTGTTTTCTGTGCCTTGATTCCAATGTCTCGACCGACGTTTCGAGGTTTCAGCACCACTATCTTAATAAAGATACCGACAAAGAAATCCTAAGTCGTGCATGACAGACTTCGACGCGGCGCCACCCGGTCAACCTAAAACATTCGTAGTAGTGTATTTGTATAGAAGGAGCGTGTGCATGTCCTAATTACGGCTGAACCGGCTTAGATCATCATTAAATGTCACTCAGTGCCTCTGACAGGAAAATCCTCCGACAATGGCAGAGTTTCCCACACTAGCTTCATAGCTAGATCGAATTCAGCAGCTGTCTAGATGAGAATTCTAGCGGCCGCTTGCTCTGATTGGTAGTTTTTCGTGGTTTTTCCGATCATCAGCAGGCGAATAACGGACCAGTTCCTAACAAAAGGGCTACATACCACGTGCAATGTTTCTTTCCTCTTCCTTGTCCTATTCTCACTCGCTAGTTGCTCTCACACTTACATTCATTACTCTACCACACATACCGGGAGCCCGGGTGAGAGTTCAGATCTTGTCTCGGCTGGAGCGGTGCCCCGCATGTAGGAGATACCTGGTTGATGGAAAACCGCGCTAGCCGACGTGCAGGTCGGCGCCGGATGTCGCTAGCCAGCGTGGGAAGAACACGGCTCCCTCCCGAAATAGAAACGAGTCTACACCTACAAGACAATGCCCGTAGCAGTCGACGCACCCAAAACACTGATAATACATATGAACACCTAATTGGATGCGAGCTCGTCCTAAGGTGCGCGTGTGGGGTTGGCAGGGGAGCGGCCGCACGCGTGCGCCGCCTGCGGGAAGACGTTCGCGCTGGCGTCCAACCTGCGCGCGCACCAGCGCACGCACCACCTCGCCCCGGCCCCCGCCCCCGACTCCGCCCCCGGCGCCGCCCCCGCCGCCGCCGCCGCCGCCTCCGCCCCGCTGTGGCTGCTGCATCGCCTTCTGCACGCGCACGCCGCCGCCGCCGCCGCCGCGGCGCCCCACGCCGCCTTGCAACGCCGCCTCGCGTGGGCGGACGCGGAGGCAGACGGCGAAGCACCTCGGCAGCACCAGCAGCCTCGTCAGTCGTATGCTGCTATTATATAGAAGTGAGAGGTTGTGTGTATCATGTGCCAGGAAAATATTAGAAACACTAGTCATTGCTCCAATATTTGGCACAAAAATGCTTTCGACCGGCGAAAATATAATAAAATAGTTGCTATTCAAAATGTGACCCTAAAATGTATATTTTTTACAAAATTTACCTTCGAAGTTAACTATGATACCTTGCCCATTATTCGAATCAAAGTAGACTACAACTGAACCGAGAGAAGAGGACTGTCCTTAAAACATTAATATAGAATCGTTGAATTGCGGTAACAAAATACCTCATCAGTAGGCTTGTCATTCACAAGCTATTACATAAAAGTGAGAGGTTGTGTGTATTGTATGTGCCACGAAAACGTTAGAAACATTACAGTCATTTCTCCAATATTTGGCACAAATGCTTTCGACCGGCCTAGATAAAAATAAAATACGATTTTAAAACGTATTTTTTAATTTAAAAATTGCTCTTCAGTATAATAATTTACTGATACCTTGGCCATTCTTTGAATCAAAGTAGAAAACAAGTGAACCGAGAGAAGAGGACTGTATTTAAAACATTAATATGAAATCGTTGAATTGCAGCAACAAAATACAGCAAAAGAAGGTATCGAGAACAAATATTATAAAAACGTGATTCAAAAATACGAAACTACGCAAGAATTAATTATATTTAATTATTTATAATTAATATGATTTACAAAAACATTTCAAATTTAACTATTATATCTTATCATTGAAATAGAATATTATTTTTTGTGGGATTTGGTCACTTTTTAATATTGATGTAATTGATGAATATTCCTACAAATCATCTTAAATTAACTATTAGTGAGAAATATTAGGCTTACTCCTGATAAATGTTTTTGACATGATAAAAGGCCTGTATTGACAAAACAATTTACCTGTTCTCATCAAGATAATTATATCGACAAATTAGAGCTGTGTGGCTACAAAGAAAGAAAGAAAGTGTATAACTTTGTATAATAGCGGTTAAGTTATTAAATAACTTCATCTATCATAATAGTCTTTATTTTTATCCACTTTGGTTAGGTAAAGTAAAATATTATGACATTATAATCAGTTTCGTAATGAAGTACTTTACCGCCCTAGTGTGGGACGCTAGGGCTGTAAAGTAATGACGAAGTTTGCCACTCTTCTTTTGACACTATTTTGGACTTCTTTGTCTTATATCCATCACTTTTCCTCTTTAAAAACGTTAATAAACTTGCTCAGTCGCGGCTCGTCATTTAAGGCTGTAAGGTAGAGATTGCTGCCTCTTCTGTAGAAATTGCACCCCCCCCCCCAAAAAAAATTAAAAATATATTTATAAACGTATTTATTTATTTATTAATAAAGGATTTCTGAGTTATATTATGTAACAATCATATCAAAATGTTTCTCTGTTAGTTCGATAATGGCCGTACGTAACGCATTTGAAGCTGCTGTCGGGGAAGAGAAAAGCATTAGGCCCCCACTTCATTCCGCCATAAGGCCTGTCTAAAACGAGGAGGCGTGGCGTCGGGCGAAGGCTGCGGCCAGGCAGCCCTCAAGGGTGGGGCGTAGGGTCTGAAGATGGGCGTGCTCACGTGATAGCCTCAGATGGTACCAGATACAGCTCAGCGAGTAGCATTGAATACCAACAAGTTCTCTCAATATGCCGCAAGGGAGGGAATCACTTATGCCTGTATCGGAAGAGATTATGTATAGAATCACAATGCATGCAATGCAATGCATTTGCAGCCTTCCTCATTTAGAAATCCACTAGCCGCGACTGAACTTACTAATATCAATATTGCCATTAAGTGATGTACTCTTAAAATAGATAAGTGGATCCAAAGACTATTACACCTGCACGTTTTCTTGAACCCTGAAATACCTACTCCCACTCCTTTTCTATCATTAGTTGAATTAAGAATAAATGTTAGCGACGTTGTTCATAAAATGTCATTATGAGAAATGTTTCCTCCTGTGTAATATAAATTATTTTACATTGAGAAACGAGCGACAGTTTTGATTCCTCAGATAGGTTAGGTCCATTCGTTGAATGAACTACCCCCACCCCCACTCCTTTCGCATCCAGCGAAATGGCTCAAGAAAACGTGAGCGTATTACGTTCAGTTTCTCCTTCGCTGACTTACCAGAAAAGTAAGCAATCAAGACTTGTTCTAAAATGAAGTGTTTTTCACAACAATATTTAAAAATTAAATACTCACGCTTATATTTATTTTTTGATTTGTTGGTAACAATGTATCTATAGCAGCATTTGCTGCTATTTCTATTTCCGAATCAGAACAATATTCACTCATGTGAAAAGCGTACCCCAAGTGTGTTTCAATTGTTCTTCTTTTTTAGAACAGTGTCGCCACATACAGGAGAGACAAGAATGTGACTACTAAATGAAGGCGTAGGACGAAATTTCACATTAATGTAAAATGTCTACAAAGTGGATAAATCGTTGTACAATATTTGTGTCCTAACATCTGATTACAATACATAATTGGTTACCAAACTCAGCCTAACGGCCTCGATTGGCAGTTTTTCAATCAACCGGGCGTGTGGTGAACTGTGAGGCCTATTTCGCCCCCGGAAGGTCCAAGCACTTGGCCTTCATGCTCCGGGCGGTGCCGCCGCAGCTTCTCGCAGAGCTGTGCGAGAGCTTCTGTGCTTATGCTTAAGTTAGACAAGAAATGAACCAATCACAGAACGGTAACTGAAAATCGAGAATCGATTTATGGGCTTTAAACAATGCAAACGTAAGCATAAGCATAGCGCATAGACATAACATTAACGCAAGTGATAGACTGAAGTATTCACAATATCTAACATAAACGCAAGCAAAATAAGAGTTTCTATTGGCTGTGAGACATTCTGGTCGACTGTTGGTTGGATGTGAGAATCGATTTCAAGGTATCCACTGTTTTCATGACCCATATGGCGTTAGTTCGATCGTCTTCGTTCCAATTTCGATTCTCGATTTTGAGTTACCGTTCTGTGATTGGTTCATTTCTTATTTCTTACTTAAGCATAAGCACAGACGCTTTCAGGCTTTTAAGTCACGTCTTACGTGTTATGCTTATGCGAACGCATTGTGAATGAGTCCGCTTATGGACGTAGTCCTAACTTTTATGTTAACGCCATGCTAATGTTTGCATTGTACCTTTCTATCTAGCCGCCAGGGAAGCGAAGTCGGCGTCATGGCGCATTATGAAGTGTAAACAGTGATCTGTGAAAAGTGTGCGAGATAGGTGTGACTGTTGTAAATATGTATTAAAGGACATACGAGCAAGTATGATGGTGTGAATGAAAGGGAAAAAAAGGAACAGCAAGAATAATTATAAAAAAACTAACAATGCTGTAAACACTATTCCCTGAATGCGTGAACCGCCGGCAAAAGCTCCGGTTATGTCTTAAGATTAAGTTATTATAACTTAATTATTTAAATACTGCACCCTTTTTTGCCGCGAAAAACAAAGAGCTGGGCGCATGCATCCCTCGTGCTAATAAACGACCGCCTCGCCACGGCCACTGGCGATTGTGTGTGTGTGTGTGTGTGTGTGTGTGTGTGTGTGTGTGTGTAAGGGAATCAAATGATAAAAATATTGTTTTTTTAATTGTTTGAACTACAGCCTTGCAGTAAAAAAATCTAAAAAAAATAAATTTGTGATTTAAGAAGAACTTTTGAAAAATTTTCGAGTCAGTTCCAAGGTCCTAAGCCACGCTAAATTTTTTAAATATTTTTTTGTGTGTTTGAATTTGGTGCTGGGAAAATATTTAATTTATTTATAGTATAAATTATTTTCTTATTTTTCTATCAGACAAAATAGTATTTAGTTGGCGAAAAAAATAAAATAAAAAACACGGTTTTGGCAGTAGAGGGGTGTGGGTGGTAGGTCGGGGCCTAAGAAACATGTTAAAAGTCGTATTTTTAAATTAAGAGTTATAGCGTGTCTACTTGTAGGTCATTTTAGGGAAATTTTTATAATCTTTTCCGAGGGTACCTTATAACTGGCCCATCGCCATTGATGGTCACTTTAGCAGAATGTGTGAGAACGATGGCCTCTGAAGCTCTGGAATTGGCAACTAGATTCACACAGAAGACGAGGAAGACCTGTAAGTACGTGGAAGGAAGGAGTGAAGAAGACGATGACTTGAAGAGGATAAACTGCAGAAGACTAAATGGAAACTAGGATGCAAAAGACACCTCATTGTGTGAAACCATAGCTCAGAGTACCTCTACTTCGACCGTTACCAGAGTTTTCGGACATTATACGGATGTTACTAGAAAATAAAAGATTTGATTTTGGTGAAGCTGTCTACCAATTCCTAGAACAGACAGACTATCTCTATATCTGTACGTGGCGTTGTGTCTACCGGTTTGATTTGTCTCGCCACTGCATTGAGAATGAGGAATTTATGTAAATCAGGGATTCTCAACAGTTTTCTTGCATCCACCCCCTTTAAAAGAACGTTTTGCTAAATCGATCCCCTCCACTTTTTTGTATTATATACAGCATTTAAAATAATTATTACATAAAAAATTGCCCATTAATTACTTAATGACAATGAGACAAAGAAAAGGATTTAAGTTAGAAAAAAATGGTTTATAAGGTTTATAATTTATTATTTTTTGTACTATTGGACTTTATTAGACATGTAATAGAGTATTATTAGATGATTTGAAACTTTATATAAGAAAATAACCAACGTTATTTGTATATTTTGTTATTAATAGAATCTTGATTTTATCATTTGTTGCCGGTGCATGTTCAGCTATCGATCCCCAATTGTTCCCTTGATCATCAGATCCCTTTCAAAATTCATCCACCCCCTGGGGGGGCCAATAGCGACGCATCCCTTTGGGAAACCCTGATGTTAACAAGTGTAAAATCATTTTATCCGTAGTTTATAAACTGACCTAAATGTTTCATAAAACGATATTAAATGAAGGCTAATGCACAACGAATAGAAACTAATATAATAATTATATCATGATCCATCGCTCGATTTTAGTCATTTGTTCACAGAGAGTTGTGCTTTATTCTTTGGATAAATGTTTTGAAAATGTGCCCTTATGCCATCCGTAGCCTGCCCGGTGAATGGTATATGCAGAGAGTATATTGGGTATATGTTTCTTCGGTGCGAAGAGGTCTCAAATGGGCGGGAATTGTTACTGCGTGATGCGAAGTGATGCTGATGGGAGCTGACGTACAGTATTTAAATCTGTACGGTCTGACGGAAGTTGTGTTACCTCTACATCGTACGTGATTGATCTAGTAGGTAGCAGAGAATTTATCTGTGTATTAAAGCTGATTAGTTTTTTGGGGTAAATGTACGGGGTAAATGAAGTATTTCAAAATCCAAAATTTATTTTGCAAGAATTTGTTGTGTGTAATAGTCTTTTCATAGGCGACGACTTTGAGTATTCATTGGAGGCATCCCCATGTCATACCGTGACGTATTTGATTTTGTAATATTGAAAGGCGAAATTCATCGATCTTTGTTGCGTGGAATATTTTTCTTATGATAACCCCGTTTTGTTATATTTAAAAATTAAAGAACCCAAATTCTTTAACTGAATGATGTAGGTAATAGTATAACCTTTAAAAAATGCAGTTTATCTTGAACCTTGTTTTTTTTCAGCCTCCATCTGCAAGCTGCTTTATAACTTAATTGATTTTGTTGATTCATGAACTTTGAAGAACAACAGACACTCATTTGATTTAGTGGCTATTTTCTGAGTAAATTATGGCCAAAGTTCAGGTGGTTAATGTAGTAGTATTAGATAATCCATCTGCATTTCTGAATCCGTTCCAATTTGAAATTACATTTGAATGTGTGGAAGACTTGCAGGAAGATTTGGAATGGAAAATCATTTATGTTGGTTCTGCAGAAAGTGAGGAATATGATCAAGTTTTGGATACAGTGTATGTTGGGCCTGTGCCAGAAGGAAGACACATGTTTGTCTTTCAAGCAGATCCTCCAGATCCTGCAAAGATTCCTGTTGCTGATGTAATAGGTGTAACAGTTGTGTTACTGACCTGTTCATACAGGTATGTGAAATACACTTTTTTTAAATTTCTGTAATTATGAGTGGTGGGATTGTGTTACATTGTGCAAATGGATAATGTTTGAAATAATTCCCGTATTGTAAATTTAATACACAAGGCTTTAGTAGATGTGTAGAAAACATTAATCCTTAAAATATTAGTTTTCAAACAGCAGCGTAATGAAAGAAAATGTACAATAATATCCTTAAGAGATTGTTGTTTTGAATTAATTAGAAACAATGTTTACAATATTGATATTTTCAGTACACTATGGTTGTAAAACATGTGTACAAAGTTTAGAAGATGCATAAGAATCTTAACACTAGATGTTGTACTACTATCACTATCATTTGTCTGAGAGCACAGATTAGATCTGAACTGTGTTTATTATAGCTAGATAAAAGAACAAAAAAATGTTTTGAGGAATAGTCGAAGAACTTTTATTCTATTTGTAATTGTAATATGTGTATTATATTGTGTGCCAAACTTCCAAGAGCAACAATGGTTTGACTTTCTTTGACACTCCATTTAAGTAGGCAATGTATTTTTTGTCCTGAATGTGTTTTTAGATGTGGAACGAAGTAAAATTACCCCAAAACCACCTTGATTCTTGAAATTGCAAAATTTCAACCAATTTTTATGCCCATTTACTTCCTCAACCAAGTAGACTTGCTTCACCTAAGTAGTTCCAAGCCTCTGGGTTTTCACCAGAATAATTACATTAAACAGCCTCTTATCTGGTCAAAATAAAATTACCAACTGATTTTTATGCCAAGAAATATAAACCGGCTTGAATCTCACCCTTATTACTCTTCCTACAGTGCCCACATACATGCTAGACTAAAGTTCACCCACAACAAATTCCAATGTTGTCTCCTTTTTGATTGACATAACCTCATTCTGTAGTTTTCAAGGATTAAATAAGACTGTGTGGCATTGCTTTCCACTGGTTTCAAGCTGTGAAATCGCTTTGTTAAGTTTTGACTTTAATCTTATTAATAAAAAAAGATTTAAAACAACCAAAAAATGTTTTTCCTACTTTTCGTCAAAATTATCCCCACTTGAACCTCTTTTTTGGCTAGTCAACAATTTAATTGATAAAATACAAAATTTACTAATCAGTGAAAACCATAGTAGCAATTTGTAATACTTATTGAACATACTAAAACCAAGTAGCTTTGGATTCGTATTACTTTAGCAGCTAATGATTTGTTCAATTTACCCTAGCCCAAAAAGCTCATCACTTTTTTTATGAGAGTGGGTAAAAAGATTAACTCCGTTAATGTATTGAGAATATTATTCTTCAGTATTGTTAGATCTAAACTTAAATATGTTTCATTAATATGGTCAACTTATTTTAAGGGTGTTTCTAAAACTTTAGAACAATTTGATTAATTACCTTGAGTGTTGTGACACTGGACATTATCCCCCTTGTAGGGTTCACCATGAATACATTTTGGCTAAATTTCATATCTGAAGTTAAGACAGTAGGAGGCAATTATCTTTGATAATTATGTTTTTTAAGATCTTAAATAACTTGGCTGATCTATTTGTGGTGAAATTCCTGTATCTGTCTCATATTACCCTTCTCGTTAGTACAGTCCTTGTGATATAACAACAACTTGATACTAAATAGTAGCCTTCCTAGAGTGTTCATCAATGTTAACAAAATTGTTTCTAGTGTAGAAATGAGCATCAACGTAATTGCTGATTCTTTAAATACACTAACTCTGCTATTAAATAAGTAGAATCACTGCTGTGACATATAAACATTTAAACATGCATTTTTGAATTTCATAATAAGTCTATAAATGGGTATATTTCGCTGGCTTTGTACATTAATAATAAAGAAAATAGTATGAGTAATTCACATATGTTACCACTGTTCATGCCCAACTCGAAAATTGTACATCAAGCCCATAATAGTTTTGGGAGCCCATGGGTGCCTAATTGATATATCTTGGTTTGTAATCTACAAAATGAGACTGTTTTAAACCATCTATTCCATTTTTGGAGGTTTAGCTCTTGTAAATACAATGCAATGAATACACCAATGCACAGATTGTCAAGAACTTGAAGAATCTTGAAATCTGTGTAAAAGAAACGGGTAGGTAGTGATCATACGTCTTAACTCTATTATTTTATATTGATGGAAGATGGATTATTACACCTTTTTCTGTAATAGGATTGAAATTACAGTCTAATTGTGTGTTTATTTGTTCAAAGTTATACTATATTAAAAGTCAATATTCTTTGAGTTGGAGTAAAAAGTTCAGCACCACTTCATATTATCTTTAAAAGAGCTTTCTATAATATGCATTTTAATTTCAAAGACCATCTTTTACTGAAGCAAATGCCAAAGATCATATTGTTTTTAAGATTTGAAAATAATGAATTATTTTTTTAAATGTGTTTTTTAATGTTATTTTTTAAAAAATTGTTTCAGAGGACAAGAGTTCATTCGTGTAGGTTATTATGTGAACAATGATTATGTTGATCCAGAGATAAGAGAAAATCAGCCACCATCAGCACCTCCTCAATTTGACAAACTACAACGTAATATTCTTGCTACTAATCCTCGTGTTACCCGTTTCAAAGTAAGTGGTTTATGATAATTTTTAATCTCTTGAACCTTTAAGTAATGAAATAAATGGTTTGGAAAGAGAAGTGCTATATACATTTTTATGTTTCTGCTATTTCTAATTTGGTTTTTCTATTTTCTTGGTTTTTGTTTGTTCAAATGGTTACTTCGATTAAACTGTCACCTTGACTAATAGATGTTTTTTCCTGGAACTAATTGATTTTTTCATAAGACATTTGTAAATATTCCCTTTTCAGCAGCTATCTGGTTTAGTGGCAAGCAATTATGCTCATTTTGTAGGTTAGCCTTTTTTAAGGAGTAATCACAAGCAGTTTTGACTTGTATTATGATAAGCGGAAAAGTGGTGGATATTACTTTTCATTCAATGTCTACATAAGATGGGATGCATTGTCAGATTATTTTGAATAATGACTTTGTCACTAATCTTTTAGGATTAATTTCTGATTCAGATAACAAGAAATGGTTTTAATAAATATATTTTAATGAAACGACATGATCACTTTTCCTGTTTGACAGCATTCCTTTGGTTTGCTATGCTAACTCATGCTTTCCTTCTGTGGGAATCTGTTAAATTGTTGTTGTTTCTTTTATTTTATTTTTATTTTTTTTATTCAGTGAGAATGGAAAGTGAGTTTCTGTACTAAAAGAATGAGTGACAAGTTCATTTTTTTCGTATTAGCCAAGAGAAGACCAATGATCCTAAATACCTTGATTCATTTATGGTAATTAAACATCTGATAGACAACTAATGTCTTTTTATAACAATTGCCGTAATTAAATTTGATTTATGCTCCAATCATCTCATAACCTTGATGAAACAGCCACTTTTGTTAACAGCCTTCTTCCCC